ATAGGTGTGTAGGTGTGTGTTTTTAAAGTCATTGGTGTTTTTGACAACCCTAAATAATTGCTGTTTTTGTGTGTTAATTTATTGTGCGACTGGGAAGCTACCCGGCATCCCAATTCACATAAAGGAATTATTATACAATAAAAGTCACACGCTCTCAGCCTCCTCTGAAGAAGTTTTGCCAAGAAAACCCCGGGATATGTTTGCCTTAGGGTCCCCCATAAATCCAAGGTCTCAAAGGCACACAACCACAACCGCCACCATGCCCTACTATGCAACGCATGGGGTTGCCGTCAGTGAACAAGCAAATCATAGAATCATAGAATCATAGAGTTGGAAGACACCCCAAAGGCCATCCAGTCCAACCCCCTTCTGCCATGCAGGAACTCCCAATCAAAGCATCCCCAACAGATGGCCATCCAGCCTCTGCTTAAAGACCTCCAAGGAAGGAGACTCCACTATTCTCGCCATTCAAGCATGCCATTGCATTGCCCCGGCTCTCCTTCCTTTGCAAGAAAAAGTCTTGCAGAACCTTAAGAGGCGAAACAGATTTATTGCAACCACGGCTGGAAATAATAATAAAGGCAGGCCAGGTCACAAAAGGCTGGGCCACCATAAATCTGTTCGCCTTTGGCAGACCACAAAGGTGCTTTGTTGGTTTCGATGTCCAGGGATTAACAAGAAATTAGTCTCCCTTTTGTGTGTATGTACGCAGGGTTTATTTATGGAGTAGCCAAGACCCTTTCTGAAGAAGCCATTGAACAGAAGCAGAGACTTTGGGCCTTTCCACATTCCACAGTTATACCACTGCGATTCCACTTTTAAGGGCAGTAGCTGCATGGAAACCTGGGACTTGGAAAGAATAATAATAATAATATTCTTTAAGCAGAGGCTGGATGGCCTTCTGTTGGGGATGCTTTGATTGGGAGTTCCTGCATGGCAGCTTTGATTGGCAGTTCCTGCATGGTTGGACTGGATGGCCCTTGTGGCCTCTTCCAATTCTATGATTCTATTAATAATAATAATAATAATAATAATAATGTGTTGTTGTGTACTTTTAAGTCGTTTCTGACTTATGGGAACACAAAGGTGAAACTATCACAGGCAACTTTCTTGGCAAGTTTTGTTCAGAGGAGGTTCACCATTGCCATCCTCTGAGGCTGAGAGAGTGTGACTTGCCCAAGGTCACCCAAGGGGTTGACGCGGCCAAACTGTTATTCGAAACGTGGTCACCAGAGTCATAGTCCAACACTCAAAACACTACACCACACTGGCTCTTCTATTATTATTATTATTATTATTATTATTATTATTATTATTATTATTAATTTTATATCCCACCATTCTCCCAATTATAGGGGCTGACCACAAATGTAAAAATGCAATTTGAAAACAATGCTAAATCATTTTTTAAAAAAGTGTAAAGTTTAACAAAACAATAGAAAGTTTAGTGAGGAGCACTTAGCATTGGAAACTATATTTATACTTTTTAATGCTTTTGCATTGTTTTTAAATCGTAGCTTAGTGAGGAGCACTTAGCATTCTAAAGTTTATCCAGACTTTATATTTATACTTCTTGAATGCTTTTGCATTGTTTTTAAATTGTAGTTTACCAAGGAGCACTTAGCCAGCCTGGCATCGTGGTTGGACTACACAGACAAGACCAGGGTTCAAATCCCAGCTCAGCCATGAATCCCATTGAGTGACCTTGGACAAGTCACACTCTCTCAGCCTCAGAGGCTGGCAATGGCAAACCAGGTTATTTCTCCAGTGTGGATGCAGCCTGAGAGAGCTCTAGTGACTCCTCAAACTACAAATCCCAGGATTCCATAGGCTGCAACCATAGATGGGGAATCCTAGTGCCATGGAGGGTGGAAGGGCTCTCTGGGAATAAATTTCTAGTGTAAGCTTTTGCAGACACAGTTTAACAATAATAATAAAAATTATAATTATTATATTGATTTCTTATTTGCCTCTCCCCATGGATCAAGGCAGGGAACAACAACAGACCAACAAATATGCATCAGTTAAGAAAACAAACAGTGATCCCCAAACTTTGGTCCTCCAGATGTTTTGGGGACTTGAACTCCCAGATGCCCCAGCCAAGTTGGCCCACTGAAAGCTGAGGTCCAAAACATCTGGGCAACCAAACTTTGGGAACCACTGGGTTAAAATGTACATCAGTTAAAAGAAGAAGACAGACACATTTATATCAAAACAATCTCCCATTTAAAATTTGTTTAAAATTTACAACATTTACAATTTTGCAAAGTTTCAAGTTGGATTTGCCCAAAACAATTTAGGACGTTGGCTGGTGGGGAGTTCTCAGCCTTTGCTCCTCCAGATGTTTCAAACTTCAGCTCCCAGAAGCCTCGGCCAACACGGCCAATCCTCAAGGATTCTGGGAAATGAAGTCCGAACCATCTGGAGGGCCAAAGGTTGAGAACCACTGGGACTTGGGAGACCAGGTTTCTAGTCCTCATGGTGCCATTAAATTCACTAGGTGACCACGACCACCCTCTTTCTTTCTTTCTTTCTTTCTTTCTTTCTTTCTTTCTTTGGACTTCAAGCCCAACTCACAGGGTTGTTGTTGGGGGGTCAAATGTTGGTAGTGAGGAAAGAAGAGGAACAAAAGAAGACTAGAGAGAAATGTTCAGGAATGGACAAAGTGGTCTTCACAGCCTGGTGATGCCCACCCACCCAAGGATTGCTCTGAGAAGAGGAAAGGTTACAGTCCTTGAATTCTCCACCAAGGGAAAAGTGTCCTACCTCGCAGGGCTGTCCTGATGGAGACGGCTGGAGGAAAGTGCTTTGCAAGGGGGTTGAAGAAGGGAATTTACTCCACTTGGGGCCTTTGCAGGCTGCTAGAAATAGTGCAAATTGAGTCCGGTGCTAGGGAATCATGGGAATTGTATTTTTTTCTGAGACATTGAGCCTTCTCTGTCAGAGAGCTCTGGTGCCACAATAAACTACAGTTCCCATGATTCCCTAGCACTGAGGGGGGTTGCAGACTGCCAGAAATAGTGCAAATTGAGTCCACTTTTAGGGTTAGGGAATCATGGGAACTGTAGTTTATTGTGGCACCAGAGCTCTCTGATAGAGAAGGCTCAATGTCTCAGGAAAAAAAGACAGTTCCCATGATTCCCTAGCACTAACCCTAACCCTAAAAGTGGACTCAATTTGCACTATTTCTGGCAGTCTGCAAAGGCCCTTGGTTTGGGCATTGGAATACAGCTGCATCTACACTGCAGAATTAATGCAGTATTTACACCACTTTAACAGCCATGGCTCCATGCTACAGAATCCTGGGATGTGTAGTTTGTGATTGCACCCGAGCTTTCTGACAGAGAAAGTGAACTACCTCACAAACCCTCCAACTCTCTAGCATCAAGCCAAGACAGTTAAAGCGGTGCTGAACTGCATTATTTCTGCAATGCGGATGCAGCCTGAGAACCAGCATATATATGCCTTTTGCATTACCCCAACCGGGCTGCATCCGCACTGCAGAAATAATGCAGTTTGGCACCAACTTAACTGCCCTGGCTCAATGCTATAGAATCCTGGGATTTGTAGTTTGTTGTGGCCCCCAAGCTCTCTGACCAAGAAGGTTAAATATCTCTCAAAACTCCCAATCCTGGAATTCCACAGCATTGAACCATGGCAGTTAAAGAGGTGTCGAACTGGATTAATTCTACAGTGCAGATGTTGCCAACACTCAAGAATCAGAAAGCCCACTTGCTCTGCCATGGAAACCCACATAAACCCCAAAGGTGACCCTATAGTGGGGGGTTCATCCGGGGCTGAGAGTGTGTGACTTACCCAAAGTAGACTTTTTGGGTGAGTCACACACTCTCAGCCCCGGAAGAAAGCCCACCACAGGATCACCATGAATCGGAATCGACTTTTTTTTTTTTTTTGGTTTATGGATTAGGAATCAAATAAACAAAACAAAGGAAACAAAAAGTTCTCAAAACAGTATCAACAAGGTACAAATGACTGAAAGATACAAAACAACGAGGAGGATCGGGATCCCAGAAATCCCCCAGAAAGAGTGAGTGGTAGGCTTTCTCCTTCTCTGGAGGAAGACCCTGGAAAGAGGGGGTTCTCTGGGGGTACCCCTCAAGGGCCTGATCCTGGGGCCCGATCCTGGGGAAAGGAATCAGAGGAAGCGGAGGAGGAGGAAGAGAGGGACTGGGGGGCTCCATGAAGCCCCTCTAGTCTCCCCCCCCCATTACTAGGGGTCCCCTCTGTATTACTGGGGGGTGTCCCCTTGTATCTCTGGTGGTCCCCTTGAATTATTGGGGAGTGGGGTCTCCTTGTATTACTGCCTTTCCTCCTATATTACTGGGCGTCCTCTTGGATTATTGCACTACCGGGGGGGTCTCCCTTTGTATTTCTTGGGGTCCCCCCTTGCATTACTGGGGGTGTCTCCCTGTGTTACTGGAGATCCCGTTGCAGTACTGGGAGCCCCCCCAAGTCTTACTGAGGGTCCCCCTGGATTACTGGGGGGTCTCTCCTCTTTCACCGGGGGTCTTCCTGTATTATTGG